CCCCCGTTTAAAAAAAAAATCAACAAAATGTCGCAGTTAGAATAATTCCTTTGCATACTTATGCGAAATTGTTATGCGTTATATTCAAATGTAACGAGAATAAAAACTGCATGTCTGCACTAGCAGATATAATCGATATGTCTCCTTGCTGTAGCGTCTAATTGATTTCAGTTGTATCTTTAAACTAAAGAATTCCACTCATGTTTATTATACATACAATATCCTTCTTTAAGTTCGTTTCGTATATAACTGAAGTGTCATTGAGCCAGGGATGTACCGCTGATCAGGTACAGGTATAGGTACCGCTATTGGTTACAGAGTCGTTATTATGATCGGAGGTCCAGGGTTCGAATCCATATCTGATTAGGTACAGGTACCGCTATTACTTCCGGTGGCCTTATTGTGATCGGAGGTCTTGGGTACGAATCCATGTCTGATCAGGTACAGGTACCGCTATTAGTTACAACGGTCTTATTGTGATCGGTGGTCCAGGGTATTCGAATCATGTCTGATCAGGTACAGGTACCGCTATTAGTCACGGCGGTCTTATTATGACCGTAGGTCTAGAGTTCGAATCCATGTCTGATCAGGTACAGGTACCGCTATTATTTATGGCGGTCTTATTGTGATCGGAGGTCCAGAGTTCGAATCAATATCTGATCAGGTACAGGTACCGCTATTATTTACGGCGGTCTTACTATAATCGAAGGTCCTGAGTTCGAATCATTGTCTGATCAGGTACAGGTACCGCTATTAGTCACGGCGTCGTTATTGTGATCGAAGGTCCAGGGTTCGAATCCATGTCTGATCAGGTACAGGTACTGCTATTAGTCACGGCGTCGTTATTGTGATCGGAGGTCCAGGGTTCGAATCCATGTCTGATCAGGTACAGGTAACACTATTAGTCATGGCGTCGTTATTGTGATTGGAGGTCAAGGGTTCGAATCCATGTCTGATCAGGTACAGGTACCGCGATTATTTACGGTGGCCTTATTGTGATCGGATGTCCAGGGTTCGAATCCATGTCTGATCAGGTACAGGTAACACTATTAGTCATGGCGTCGTTATTGTGATTGGAGGTCAAGGGTTCGAATCCATGTCTGATCAGGTACAGGTACCGCTATTATTTACGGAGGCCTTATTATAATCGGAGGTCCTGAGTTCGAATCCATGTCTGATCAGGTACAGGTACCGCTATTAGTCACGGCGTCGTCGTTGTGATCGGATGTCCAGGGTTCGAATCCATGTCTGATCAGGTACAGGTAACACTATTAGTCATGGCGTCGTTATTGTGATTGGAGGTCCAGGGTTCGAATCCATGTCTGATCAGGTACAAGTACCGCTATTATTTACGGTGGCCTTATTGTGATGGAGGTCCAGGGTTCGAATCAATGTCTGATCAGGTACAGGTACCGCTATTATTTACGGAGGCCTTATTATAATCGGAGGTCCTGAGTTCGAGTCCATGTCTGATCAGGTACAGGTACCGCTATTAGTCATGGCGTCGTTATTGTGATTGGAGGTCCAGGGTTCGAATCCATGACTGATCAGGTACAGGAACCGCTTTTAGTTACGGTGGTCTTATTATGACCGTAGGCCAAGAGTTCGAATCCATGTCTGATCAGGTACAGGTACCGCTATTAGTCATGGCGTCGTTATTGTGATTGGAGGTCCAGGGTTCGAATCCATGTCTGATCAGGTACAAGTACCGTTATTATTTACGGTGGCCTTATTGTGATGGAGGTCCAGGGTTCGAATCAATGTCTGATCAGGTACAGGTACCGCTATTATTTACGGTGGCCTTATTGTGATCGGAGGTCCTGAATTTGAATCCATGCCTGATCAAGTACAGGTACCGCTATTAGTCACGGCGTCGTTGTTGTAATCAGAGGTCCAGGGTTCGAATCCATGACTGATCAGGTACAGGAACCGCTTTTAGTTACGGTGGTCTTATTATGACCGTAGGCCAAGAGTTCGAATCCATGTCTGATCAGGTACAGGTACCGCTATTAGTTACGGCGTTCATATTGTGATCGAAGGTCCAGAGTTCGAATCCATGTCTGATCAGGTACAGGTACCGCTATTAGTCACGGCGTCGACATTGTGATCGGTGGTCAAGGGTTCGAATCCATGTCTGATCAGGTACAGGAACCGCTTTTAGTTACGGTGGTCTTATTGATCGCAGGCCCAGAGTTCGAATCCATGTCTGATCAGGTACAGGTAACGCTATTAGTTACAGCGTTCTTATTGTGATCGAAGGTCCAGAGTTTGAATCCATGTCTGATCAGGTACAGGTACCGCTTTTAGTTACGGCGTCGTTACTGTGATCGGAGGTAATTGGTTCGAATCCATGTCTGATCAGGTACAGGTACCGCTATTATTTATGGCGGTCTTGTTGTGATCGGAACGGCGGTCTTATTGTGATCGGTGGTCCAGGATTCGAATCCATGTCTGGCTCCGTTTTTACTCTCAAAACACTATTGCTGATTGTTTTCCCGGTGCTACATCTTTGTAACAGTTTTTAAAGATGACTTATGTATCTTTAAGAAATGAAATTTAATCATCTATTGTCATGCTCGAAAAAAATACTATTTTCAATAGTTTAGGTGCTAGAATGAACTTTCTTTGATACATTTAATAGCGTGCAACTTTTAAAGGTTTAATAAACCCTATATTAATTTCAAAGCTCTTTTATTGTAATAATATATTATAATATTCGGAAACACATCTTAACATGAGACTGTAACTTCACTGAAGCCCATATTTTGTATGATAACCTATACACATGTATTTGATATCTACATAAAATGATAACGCAGTTTAGCAACCTACCACATACTAGTTTACTTATATCAATTGATATTAAGGCGAGTTCTGTTATTCTCCAACAGCTCTTGTCTGGTATAATTGTTATAAATGAGACGAATGTGTTACAGTATGGTGGCTACGGTATCAACACAGAGTGGGGGATTCCGAGCTCTCCGGTTTCTAGATACACACTACCGAAACGACTTATATAAAACTCAGACGGCAACAAAACACATGCAGTTCATGTTCGACTACCACCCACCTTACCACTGTTTGGAAACGAAAACATGTTCAAGACAACAACAGCCGCTTTTAATTAGTAATGATATATCAAAGGTAAGCGACCTGTCGTTAACAGTAAAATATGTAAAGTCACAGTGCTGCTGGCCGTACTTATTGCATCAACAATCGCTATATAAACACTACCACAAGAATATGCATGCATAAGGCTTTCAATGCAATTGCATTAACCTTCAGGATTCTCCATGACGATACCATAACAGTATTTATAAGTATTAGGGAATACTTATACTTACATCGCTAACAACTATATATTTAGAATGTTAATATCTGAATTCATGTTTCTGGAAGGATGTTTTTATTATAATCATCCCGTTATGAATGACATCCACATATAGCCATCCTCGATATCCAGGAGTTACGCTCACCTACGCTCTCTATAGCGTAACCCCTGGATATCGAGGATGACATATAGCAAGAAGTCCTTGCAAGCTTCATGCAATGTAGATGTAACTGACATACATGTTTTAAAAATGTCTATTCAATTATTGTGTATTTATTTGCATTATCATTCTGTCATCACACATAAGACCATGGGTTTCGGAGATAAAGCATATTTAAAGTCGAACCTTGTATCTACTAACACGAATAACTGAATCCCCATATTCAGTTTTAGCTAGTGTTTTGTTCTTGGTAATCATTGAATTACATCCACGATATTCTGCAGCTTTCTACATACATTATTTGACAAATGTTAACATGACCATTTTACGTCGATTTTGTTATACACTACTTAAAATAAAACTTTCGACAATTGAATTTATAGGGACCTGTAACCATATCATGGGACGGATGGAATGACACTTTATCGGGTGTCCACATCTACACTGTACAGGTGTATCCTTTAAAACCAGACAGAACAGGCGACCTGACCGAGGTCAATCCCAGCAGCCCTATCTACTACTTGACTAATTTGACTATAACCTCGAACCTAACATACCTACCACCTTCTTCTGGAATGTATTCCGTTCTGTTGGAGGTAGGAGATAAAGCTAACAACACCAAGTACAGCCGGAGGACGCTGCTGTTTGACAACGAATCTAACGTCACCATGACAGCCAATCCTATAACGGTAGAGGGCGCTGTAGGAAACACAAACAGTAGCTGGATAGATAATTTAGACGAACTGGTAGTCGTAAACTGGCATGGTCATTTTGAAAACAAAATACATGAAGATTTCCATCTTCTGAATGCTGTTGCAACATTCAAACCGCAGACGATAATGCACTTCCGTCATAAGAACGTGTCCTCAGTCTTGGATGATCATGAAGGAAAACGTACACTTAAGAAAATAGCTAACAAAAATGGAATAACAAAAGTACAAATAACTCATAATCTCAAAGGTCATGGGGGGCTTCGACCTTGGACAAATGCGGCTGGCTTTCTGACCGAGAAGGCGACCCTAAACATTTCACGTTTGGACGGTGACACTATACAGATATCAGTAAAGGCCTTTGATGTGATGGGGAACAGTGCCACGCAGTCCATATTCATGAATGTTGACTCAACATCACCACATGTGGAGAAACCTACATTAAACTCGAATGTTAAAAATGGGACATTTCCGTTCTCAAGTGGGTAAGTTGTATGTTGTATTTCTTTTGATGATTTTTCAACGAGCATTTTATCACGAATATATGCCACCTTTTATTTATTTTTGTCTCAAATGATGACTAATATTTTGCAGAGTTCAATTTCTGGCATACGATGGACAAAGTGGGATAACGATGTTTAAATGGAAGATCAAACCAAACGATTCGGACGAAATATTTCACGAGGGTCAATCAGAGGGAAACATAACAGGGGTAACAAATTATAACTGTATCATGACGAATAAAATAAAATAAAATTTATGCAAATAAACCCAAGACAAAACTATTTTATCTACAATGATAGCATGTGATGTTTATAAAAGCAAGCGTCAAAAATGAAATATTTTTTTCATCTTACTCTTAAATGTTTAACCCAGCAATGTTTGAGAATTTCATACAACAAGGATGCAGATGTGTTTGGTGTAAACCAGATTAAGAATAATGTTACCCTAAGTTAGATGACAAAATGGTTTGAGGAAAATCAATGACCTACATGTTGTAGCTGCATACTAGTATATTCATATAGGTAACTGAATTTATTGGCATAACTTATTTCTGTAGGTCACATTAAGAGTACTGTTGTTCAAAGATGGATGAACTTAACGAGTCGTAAAAACAAACAAAGAATTCTTGTAAACGAAAACATTGACAATCACAACTCTATTACACTGTTATTTAATGGACATTGGAAATTCACATAAATTCGCTAGAACAGGAAAAAGTTACCACAACGTACTCTTTTGATTAAAACTCAATAGCTGAAAAATGTGCTAAATTAATGATCCTAATAATAAAGATAATACATTTTTGTTGCAATCATTGCTGATGATGGTTTCATATAAAACAGTTTCTCCTGTGAAGAAAGGCACCCTACCCCACCACACACACACTATCGGTAATTATTGAGTAAAATGTACAAATAAAGGACGAAACGTAATTTAAACAGAGACTGATGACGTTTTTATGTACATAAATTAGACCGTGTCTCTTAAATCACTCTAACAATGTATATTTCGAATTGTAATCTATAATGTCTACAGTTTTCTGTTGATAATAATTTACCGTGAAGTTTTTCTGTTATTTCATAACCTGGTACAATTAAAGACCGTTGACAAGACGCATATCACACGGCTAAAATTGTTGAAACTAAAATATCATGAGAACATTATGAAAAATATAGTTGAGCAGATCTATATAAATAGATGAAAAAGACACACATGTGATAACGCCAATGAATTTGGTAATATATATAGTATGCCTAACAAAATTACAGTACACTATACAACTGGTATGCCCTTCTATGACTCGGTAACGTCTAAAAAGTTAGAAATTCAAATAAATCTGGTCTCCTGTTTAAACAAAACAGGTGATGTCTAGAACCAATCAATTATATGAATAGTTTAACCATCAGTGACCTGTACCAAGTTCTTTTTTACTTTCGTCATCATTCCGGGGCTGATGCATGCGATACTATAAGTTATTTTAACTTTTAGTGCATGTTTTCATACTTACAGCAATCATCAGGCCAAACTAAAAATAAAATACAGATAAATGAATATGAACATCGCAATAAGGGAAAACAAAATCACTCTGTCATTTTATGTAGTTTGTTGGGTTTGACTAGCTTTCAGAAAAGTAGTTCTCCAAAGTATCAATGTCTGAATGCAGGACTTCGTAGCCTTACCTTTGATCACTAAGTATTTATTTCAATTCAACATGTACCTTTGTATTGGCAGAATCGGCCTTCCAAGCAAGAGGGGGAATGTAGTTCTGCAGGAGGCTGTTTCTATTACCTTCACCAGTTTGAGATAAACAACTGCTGGCTGATGGTACCCAAAGATAAACTGGAGACCCAGGTCATTGATATTCACATTGACGTTTTCAACCTGGCAATGCTCAATTCATCCGTCTCTCTGCAGGTAACAAAACATACTGACCATGCTCAATTCATCCGTCTCTCTGCAGGTAACAAAACATACTGACAATGCTCTATTCAATCGTCTCTCTGCAGGTAACAAAACATACTGGCCACATGATCAATTCAATCGTCCGTTTACAAATATGTCACCCCTGCATGTTCAGGACAAGTACGGGCCTGTTGTATCTCATTTCATGTTATCGGAAGAGGCGACTAATTTGGCCCCTCTCCTTGCAGAATCGAGGGTTTCTTCAGTGTATTATGATACTTAAGAAAAATTTGAATTGACCCACTTCCTTTATTAAAACACTTTTCTTTTTCTCACTTCCCGACTCTTTTTTCAGTTCTATGACCCAAGGCAACCTAGGTCGAAAGAATCCAAAGAAAACAAATAGAGATTGTTTTTGCATACTGACCATACAAGTCTTATTCTCATACCCGCGTCGTCTGATAAATTAAATGTGCGTCAGTAAAACTGTCGCACGGACTTCAGTCGCTAAAAACACTGATTTCCAAACAAACTAATTGATTTAGCCCAATAGATCAAAATAGACTGTTCGTGCTTTTTGTAGAACCGAAAACCGAAATACACTGGATGGAATAAAATCGATTAAGGTTTTGTTAAAATGCCATTTGTTACTGTGTGTAAACAGACGCGATAGCATCAATTATGATATCAAAGAAAAGCACTCGTTTGTTTTATCGGTAAATTACACTACATGTTAACAGAGAATTATTTATTTCAGATAAACCATTTGCCTTTATTTGATGGTATAGAGGAATGTGAGTATTGTTGTCTGGTTAGTGGTTGGTTCATTCTTTTTATATGTTGTATTACAGTTTATATTTATTGTAATCTATAAATCAAACATTAATACACTAAGGACCAAAGATAACTATTAACTGTTGTTCTGTTTAATATGCCAATCATATCATAAAATCAACTGAAATGAAGCACGAGTTCGTTAATGGTATCACCATTTAAATATGATCATACAGTAAAATAATGTAGTACATTTGAAAATTATGCAAATATTTTCGTTGGTTATTCAGAAAGATTTGCTCGTTTATCACCAAAGTTTTGTCTTCCTAAAAAAAACTATCACAAACGAAGTCTTCTTGTGGTATATTCAATTAAAATATAAGCTTAGGACAATATGAACTTAAAAATAATAACAGAAGTCATAAGTTTTGAAATTTAAAGCTAATTGTGTAACGAATGCCATGCCGTGTTATACGTTAACGTTTTATCTCTCTGTACAATTTCCTCTTTAAGATTTTACCTCTGTCGATATTTTGACTCATAAAAGTCACCATCATAGCATGATTCCTGATAATGTTTCAAGAGATCTTGTGCCATCCAATTCACATTTATAATGGATTTTTTTGCTTATTTGTAAGACATGTGAATCACTAGGTTAGATAAATCTTGTTGAAAACTATGTGTTTCTCAAGGAAAGAATTTATACACATAATAATTTGTGTACACTAAACTGATAATTACGATTCAACATTACTTTACATGATGCAATATACCACCAAACGTGACGCACATTTACATTGGTATTTAGATGTAGTCTTCAATTTAGAAACAATTCTTTTAAAGTACAGATTTAGAATTGAACTATTATTGGGATAGTTCCCATGTTTCGCATATATATGGTTATACCTTTGCCAGTGTCCGTTGCACTCCGCTTTGCCAGTAAAACTGAGTTTACAAAGTCTTAACCGATGAGATAAGTCCGCTAATATACAAAAAGAGGAAGGGTTACCGCCACGACAAAACCTGGTTGGATTTCGCTTCTATTTCTTGCACTTCATTATAACAAATAACACACATTAATAGAAAAACAATCTGAATTATTCGACGAAGACGCTCACATTGGATATAATAACATATTATTAGAAAGGAATTGTTGATTTGCTCAGCAATATGGTAATACATTCAAAGGGAAAGATGATTTAATTTTAGATTACGGACCAACGGACCTTATTGTTTCCGGAACGACGTCTAGCAGTGTAAACTTCCAGTGGCATCTGGGACCGAGCTGTTACGTCAGAACGGATATACTTCTCATGTACAACGTGTCTGGACAGACACGAGAAATGCATGTGCAAAAGGACTCGGAATACTACACGCTTGGAAATCTAGATCCAGAAACTGCGTACACCGCCCATTTTGTCGTTGAGTACGGGGATGAGAAAAGTGACCCCGTACATATCACATTTACTACAGGTAGATCATAACCTTCTTGTAGCACAGGGGTAACCAGAAGAAACCCTGATAAGTAAGAGTTATCATTGGGATCCGGCCGCCCTCGCGTGCGTGCCCTTGACGTAATCGCTCTGAATTTTGTTATCCAATTTTCAAGAAACCCCATATCTGTGTTCACAAACATCACCTCATGTACAAGTTGGCGTTGCGACGTTCTGGTGTTAAACGCCAAATCACTGTCACCATAACTAAAATATATGTTTCATTGTTTTACAGACTTCAATTTTTATGCAATTGTCTCGCATTTGTGGTCGAAAAGCAGGTGAATATTGCAGGCATCATTCTACAGACGCCATTTACCAGATTGTCACGAAACCACACATACTGGTTTGCAAAAAGTATCTTTTGTAAGAGATCAGGGTTCGACACTCCGGGGTTAAAGACTAATTAATTGTTACTATAACAAGATTGCTCGGGCCTTCGTTCTCCTGTACTCTCTATTTCAACTGACGAGGTTATATGGGTGTTTATAAGCTTTTCCTATTGTAGTTACGATTTTGTTTGTATTTTTTAGGAGAACGTGAAGGCTTATCAGTTGGAATAATTGCTGCAATTTCTGTAGGTATGTTTTTTTAATCAAACCCCAAAAACATCAAAGTTTATTACATCGACAGACAGTTTAACTGCTTTAGAGTGTATACATGTGATATCAAATGGAAACCATAACAGTAGTGTCATATGAGCTGGGACAGTGGACTTTCCATGGATAAATGGCGACTTATCACAAAGCAAACAAGACTGTCTAACGATTAAAATAAATGAAGAAATTGTGAATGAGTTTACGTGTATACTGTACAAAATAGGTTAAATACTCATACTTAGGGGTTCTAGAATGGCTTTTCGCTCAGCCGTGATAGTTTCATGATAAATTGTGATGTATCTAATGAAAAAATACGTGTCATTAATCTGTACATTTGAACTAATTTCATTTTGAGGGGAAATGAGTGTTCTAAGCTGACATGCGGCCAGACGAACTTGAGTAATGCCATGGTACTTTTTATTGGTTTTGTTCCCCTCAGTAATCGTGATCCTCGTTAGCCTACTTATCGCTGGTATAGTGCTCTGGAGAACGGGGAGGCTCAGCCGCTACAAGGAGTCCATCTACGGGCACATCCAACGGCGGACAATCAAGCACCGGCGGTCAAACAGCTACTCTGATTCGAAAAACGTCAATCAAGTAAAAGAACGGAAGTCATTCGCGGTACATATCATCCATGTATTTACTTTTTACTTTTTAAAAGAACGATAGTTCTGGTCCAAGAATGGTATTGATATCTATAACAATTGTCAAGTACATCACAAGATAAGTTCTTTAAAACTGATTGGTTTATAACCGTAAATCTAATTTTGCATAGATTTATCGTCTTCCACGGGATATTATACTTTTCAGACTCACAGGTAAGTAGGACCAAATGTTCTTTCCCTTGTCCTAGCGGGCGCTGTTCCTTCTTCTTGAACAGCCATAGAAACGGCATATTCAATCTCTTTTGCATAGCCATTTAAAAGCTCTAAGAAGAAACAGGCAAACGAACCGAATAGGCCTGGCAGACCTCTACAGACAACACCACCATGAAAGAATAGTTCCATCGTGAAAAAACATTTTATTGTACATATATAATACAATGAGATAAGAGTTATATTATCATAATTGTGTCCACACAACAGCTGCAAACATAATGAAAACATCATCCATATACAGCACATTTTTAACAACCTACCCATTTATTTCGACCAGAACCTGGCTTATTCGGATGTCGGTGACGACGATGTATACTTGTATGGTCAAATGGTGTTTAATGAGGACCAAGCGTGGGAGGTACATCACGACCAAATATCCTTAGTCGAGAAAATGAACATAGGACGGTTTGCCGACATTTTCAAAGCTTCTCAAAACTCCAAAAAGAACAATAGGAAGATCCTTGTTGCAAAGGTGCTGAAAGGTAAGCTTGACTCGTGACACCAGTATAAAATATATTGAATAAAAAACATATGTTTTAACTGGGCTATAATTCAAAGGTGAAAACACATTTCACTCAGATGAAAGTAAAAATCCGGAATGCCGTATTCTCCACCCCATTTTATCTGATTCTTTCAATGTAACAAGGTGAAAATATCGGGGTTTTTTTTCGTTTGTGTGTTAGACATTTAAACAAATGTCGTTTAATTAAATAACATACAGTGTATGAATGAAATTGAAATCAAATGAGTCTGAGAACCACAAAATACTGTCTTTTCCTTGAAGAAACTACATGAAGCAGGATTTGGTATTCCGAGTAACATCCGGTAGTCATGATGCCTCAGAACACTTCAAAATGGAGCTTTGGATTTTGGAAAGGCTTTTGTAAAATTATTGATTTCGATATTAATTTGCTGATATTCCAGAGTCACATACAGAGATAGACGAAATGGTGATGACCGCCAAGATCAACTTCTTTGCGACAAAGATTGGTTCCCATCCCAACGTTATTAAATTTGCTGGTGCCGTTCTTGACAACAAACCACGTAAGAATTCCGAAACGTCGATTTAACATTATTTGTAAAATAACGACATTCAGCAATTATTTGACATCTTGTTATAAAGTATTAACTCGAGGTTGTTTTAATTACACATTTAAACAATGTCTATGTTTTATTAAACGTTATTGGTCAAATTTGCTGTTACTAAATACATAACAAAAGCATGATCTGCTATTGTTTCATGCATGCAGGTTATTTGAACTTTAAATAATATTCCGTATACATGTATGTAGCAAAACAATCGTATATGTATTCACAGAAGTTTTATAAGTAAACATTTTTGTCATGATTTTCACCTATTTCTGTATGACTTAAATACATTTTGTGGCGTTCATAGTTCAATTTTAATGCATCGCTCTTGTTTAGTCGGTCCTTTCATGCTGTTGGAGTTGTGTGAGGCAGGTGTGATGAGGACTTGGCTGCAAAATCAACGAACAAAGATAACCGACAGTGTCGTAGATACCTTGTATCGTATGACCTTTGACATCGCTAGGGGAATGGACTACCTTGCTTCTAAAAAGGTATTATTTAGCAATTGTTACATAACCAAAGATACTAAATGCTTTATCAATACAATTAATTTTCACTGAGCGATTTTCCTTACAATTGAGGTTGCTAAAACGCAACACTAAATATGCAGTAAAGTATTTTTTTTAACTAATTGGCGATATGTAATATATTACCACGTATTTAACAAAGGAAAATAAGAAAATATAGATAAAGAAAAATGTGCGACACATATCTTCACGTATTTTACATTATTATGTTTTTGAATTAAAGGGTAGCCCTTACCCCTAAATGTGAATTAGTTAACGTTAGGAGTATCTTTTAACAGTCAAAGTTATCGCACCACTTCGTACGACGAAATATCGACACGCAGTATGCTTTCATTATTTTTTTGTTACTATGCGACAATCGAAAAATGAAAACAACACAACACCTTTAATTCTAAACAAATAATTTTTTAAATCAACATTACTCTCCGGCAATATGCATCGTGACATTTTGCCCTTTCAATAAATAAACATGTATCTTATACTACATGAGTTATTATCCTGTTTTTAGATAATTCATCGTCATCTGGCAGCCAGAAATATTCTCCTGACATCGTCACTTGAAGCAAAGGTAGCAGGATTTGGACCGACAAAGGAAACTGAGCAACAAGATGGCGACAATGGAAAGGCTAGTACAGTCGATAATAACAGAAAGATTAGCCTATAAAGACAGCTTAATGTGACTAGCGGTAACCCTTACCCTAAGTTGCCGGTATACACCATATGACTCATGAGTTGACAGTATAAGATTACCAAAAAGAAGTTTCAAACGACTCGAGAACAAAATAAAGTATAGATTTTCCCATTTGGGAATGTAATTTTCTCAAAAAAAGAATGCTTCTCGCGCAGATGATGTTATGGACCGGACATAGTATCCACACAAAAGTGATCCGCCATAAACAAATCATCATAGAGTTAGAAAAAACCATTGCGAGGATGAAAACACCATTTTCCAGCGTAAATGTGCATAAAAGTATGCAAAAAACCAATGACCAATTGAATCTAAATGTTAAATTAAAGTTGTTACTACAGGGAAAGGTGGCGATCAAGTGGATGGCCCCGGAGTGTATGACTTCCGTGAAGGACGCTACAATGCCGAGTGATGTGTGGTCCTATGGAATCGTAATGTGGGAAATATTCAGTCTGGGTAGGTAGGGTATGGTTATCAGGGGAATATCCAATGTGGTCATTAAGTGGGATATATGTATTTGATCTGTACATGTTATCAGAAAGATATATAGAAAGATAAACAGCACAGTTTACATGTGTGTGGTAAACTCTATCTATCAAATTGCTAACAATACAATTACAGTACAATTACAATGCTGATCGTTCAACGGGAAGACACTTACATAATTTTCCTATTTTAGGAGATATCTCAATCTGAAACACCGATTGGAATTAAAAGTTAATGTTTGATACCGTTCATTATATTACTATAAGAGATGTCATGCATAACATAACGTTACATTTGATGGTGTAATATCAAACGAGCCGTGTACATTTATGAAGCGTGGGCCAATGACATACCTTGTGATGAACGTAAGAAATGTTCCAAAACGGAAACTTAATTGATAACGTAAAACACTTTAAGCCTTATCAACGTCTCATACATTCGGTATAGCCATGTTTTTTTTTAATTTATCAATTAGCAATGTGATATACAAATGCTTAAAATTAGCTTATTTACATATAATATGTAACGTCGGACAAGCGTCTGTTTCAGGTAGTTGGATATAAACAGCAATACCGAGAAAGATTATGAAAATATATACAATTTATCAAATACAAATTCACTAATACTCACTATCACACTCACTCTCAACCCATGCACCCTCTAATCAGAATAATACAGATCATCAGGACCACAGTCTGCTAAAGGAAAGTGTCCCCAAAAACAATGTTCCATAAGCCAACATCTGGTCGAAGCACACCACCTGTTCTACACGAACAAATCAACCGAAACAATACTGTACCTCAGCACAGTTAAAAAACTGCGTCTGCTATGACGTAGGTAAACACACAAAGTGTTTCCGTAGATTACCCGCGGCAGGTAGATATATTTCACTAGCGGTAACCCTAACCCTAAGTTGCCGGTATACACCATATGACTTAACTAGTTATCGATAGTCATCACTCAGAGTTGTTCGCTCCATCCAGTCGACACAATGAGCGTCCTTACTGGCACCATGACCCTTCCGTATCGTCAACCAAAACTCTCCTGTAGCTGACCTTATAACAATATTTTTCCTGAAGTTCAAGTCGTCGTTGCAGACAGGGTCTTGATCGATGCAGAAATATCAATCCGTTATGGAAAGCTTTAGCAAGTAAAATACTTACATACAATGTGATACAATAACATCCTACCTGAAAATTAGCATAACGCAGTAGATAGCCCCAACAAATAGTATATATAATCTACACAATATTCCCCTATATTTACAGTTGTACAACGTGTCGGTCCATTTATATCATAAATCTTGATTAAATTGTCAATTCAAGTATGGCGACTAAAGGCTGCCGTACTTTTTTTCATGGACAATACTGGTCAGAATAACATTTATATGGACAATTTAACTCATTGTACCTATTGTATCAAACTATTATAAACGATATGCATTATACATTACATTCTGATAATACAAACATATTAGCAGGATGTAAACAATTAATATACACCTGTACTACACCTGCCCTATCAATGCAAGACTGAATAAATCATAACTGAGCACAAAGCCAACAAGTCTTACTGAAGTTGGAAAAAGCATGCAAAGCAAGTGAGATTTTGCCTGTACGCTATTCAAAACAACTACAATTTCTCACTCAGGTAATCTGGCTTGACTTGTATCAATAGCCTTGTTAGCTTCATGAATTATTGTAAAATTCTTTTTGAAGCAGTTTCTAACATTTTTCTCGTTAATAGTGAAAACATGGATACTTCATGAATGCATGTACAGGTAATTTTTTCATGAATTAAAATATTCAATGTAATTTTGCGCCACTCAAATTCTGACTTCAAAAATTGAAAAGGGTGTGTCCACCTTTGGCCAATGAAATCATTTACCAGAATTCTGGTAAGCCGCGGTATGATGTCTCAAAACGAAAGCCCTGGGTTTGACCAGACTCTCTGTTCGGCGTAGCTTGCGCAGGCAATAAGAGTCTGGTTGAACGAGACTAGGTATGCACTAGAAATCCATTTCATAGACACTTCAAGTTACAAATTAGTGAATTAAGAGTAATAATACTATATAATTACTCACCACAGTCTAAATGCTATGCCTGAATCCATGGAATTTGCCTGACACAGGTAATGTTCAGCGTATCGCCATTGCTGATTTATACGTCTCGCGTATGTTACCTGTAATCCTCACTCCCGGCGCGTGAACTTCGGTTCCCTGCTAGCGTACTTACCTGAGCTTAGCATCCACGTGTTACACATACAATAGTAAATATAAACAATCACACCAATATACATTATATCATATATCATATTTACATGCAATCGTGAGAGAGTACATATATTCTATTGGCATTTTCCCTGACAGGTGAAACACCGTATCCCGGGATAAGAAGTATGGAAGTGGCCACCAAGGTTTCCAATGGATACCGTATGAGCCGTCCTGAATATTGTGCAGACATGTAAGCTAGATCTTGTGGTATATAGTATGTTTTGATAAGCAAAGCAAATGCTACTTTCACAGAATTTTAAAAGAGTGGTATACACACTAGTAGTTTTTGATGCCGTATATAATGGTTGTAAGAGGTACGGAAGAACAAAGTGTTGATAATGCAAGTACTGACCTTTAATACATTTTTTTCTACACAGGCATTATGACTTGATGAAGAAATGCTGGAACAGAAAACTGTCTTCACGGCCAACGTTCTCCGCCATTGTTCAAGAGATCAGCAACACCTTTAGCTCTAGTCCGGACGATTACTACTATACCACCTAGTGACCACACTGATTGAGCGCTGTAACGTCACTAAGTGACCATTAAGACTGATACTAAAATCAAAGCCAGATCAGATACCAGGAAAAGGTTCAACGTGAATCTATTTCCCTAAATGTGTGACATTTTTGTATTTAGTTAGGTTTTCGTAATCAAATGTATAATCCGACAATAATTAGCACACAAATACTTGCAATGTTTGAGCCGATTTGAAATGAAATGTCAGTTACAAATGTAGGAAATTGATTTTGATAATTCGTTGAAGACAATGCATCTTTAAACAACAAGAAAGCACTCACACATAGTTGATCTACTGTTGTTTGTTAAAATGCATCATAAACAATAAAAGCGTAATATTGAACAGTTTTAACTTGCAGAACTAAAGTTTCTTCGAGCAGCATTGGGTCTCTGTGTACGGCTACCAAATATATGACCGTTCAAGTTAGTCTGAACTCTGTTGCGTTCATGCAGATTCCTAAAAGAAGTGATTATGGCATGTGGCCATTAACATGTTAGCCATAGTTCCTCATCAACGACTCATCATAAGCAATCTGATTACTTAGCTTTTCGAAGACAGAATCGTTCATCATAGATTTTCCAACATAGTCCCCCAAATTGTTTTGATGCCATTTTGACAATCGACATGTACTTTTATATTTCTTGCCCCTATCATGTCTTTGAGAATTAATAGCTGAATATTATTAATGCGTCTGTTCATTATTTAGTAGACTCTAACATGTTCTTTGACCTCGTGTAGTAACTAAGTGATTTAGTACAAAACCTTTAATAAAGTCTATGCATATCATTAGACGGGGTTGTTTTTTATATCTAATTCGATATGCTATGATACCCAAATTTTGTCCCTCGATGCCTGGGAAATCATGGACACCATCTCATCCCCAATGCTTAGCGAGGGGGGCATAAATGTAATCGGTAAATATACCAAGTTCTGGTACTAGATGATGAGAGACCCACTATGATGTGGGGGCTTGTGTCAGCTTGCATAGGAAATGCCGACTAATCCGCAACACCCTGGAGTATTCCTGACTGCTGATGCCGGGGGGAGGTGTCTGCTTCTCAAAATTATAAGGACGTTACTTTAGAACATGATCTCACAGTTAATAATTTAACACTCGTTTTTACAAAATTGCTAATACTCCCCCTCCTATTTGTTTTTAGAATACACAGGATAGGAGTAGATTATCGCTTTTGCGATGTTTGAATACAAGTCATAGAGAAATTTACTTATTTATTTGTTCATATAGAAATGTATATCATTGCCTTATTGACGTATGACACTTGCCATGTTGAACAAATGACTTCACATGACATACAAAATGAGGTATACTTTTCATTCTGCTGAATTTTAAACACATTGAACGCTCAATATCTACATGAACAATGTATATGTGTGAAAAAATAAGTTGCAACAGCATAAGATCCGACTTAAGACTCGTATGAAGGTTACCAATGTGCCTAACAGTCGAACGAGGGTAACGATAACAGGTACCCATACACATATCACGTCTAGGTACCCATACACATATCACGTCTAGGTACCCATACACATATCACGTCTAGGTACCCATACACATATCACGTCTAGCACATATATATTACTGTACATATTATCATGGTAATATTATACAGATAACTGGGATGAAGTTGACCTTCAATATCCTTCTGCTTCCATCGTGACAGGTTGTTTTTTTCAACCAGAAAGGTCACTTCAAGTACAAATCAAGACGGGGACAGGGTCTGCATCATGTTTTTGACTTCTTAACAAGTAAAAGTCGTCCAAGTAAAGTTATGAGTTAATGGCGATGATGAAACAACCGAAATATCACTCTGTTGGTGAGAGTTTCCTCTCTTAAGCCTTCAAGGTCAGGGATGATAATTGTTCAGTCACAACCTTGCCGTCAATAGTCTGGCATGATTATACTATATTGTTACATGAGCTCGCTACACAATAAGGTTTTATGTAGTTTTTTGTTATATTTGAACGTGCGATAGCTGTTGCCGAGTTTCTGTATTTCATACGCAACTGACTTATCGCAGTTACATGCAAAATTTAGCAAACATAATATAATTCATACACACACATACAGTGCACTAGTAAACAAAGCAAAAGACTTACCTGGTCTCAGCCATCACATAGGTAAGATGTCACTTTTGTTTAGAGTAACATATAGTTAAAGGGTCTGGATACAGGTCAAAGCTATCTATATTTATATCAAAGTCATATTTTTGAAAGTAACTCATAGACAAAAAACCAACAGAAAATCCCTTGGAAATACACCCGAACAATATTGATTGCAATAAACAAAAGATTTGATGAGTGATGTCAGTTTATTTTGATAATCATGTTAACATATCTGATTACTACATACAAACATTTATAATTCAAATAAAATGTATCATTAAACGTTATAGAACAAATACTACTTTACTTTGATAATTCCGAATGACTGACCGACTTTTCCTATAAATAAATACATACTTTGTTCACAATAACGACCAGCAGTCCCCTTCAGGCAGTCGCAATGGTTGGGGGACACGCATCTTCCGTGGTTATTACAAGACGGGTTACAAATTGCTGGAATATGTGAACAGTAAAGTTATTTACACAAACAGCACATACCGTTATTGTTATAATGCTATCGTATCCGTGGTTCTCTGTAGCTTCAGACTATAATTGTCTACTATATCCCACTGTATGATGGTATACATCAATGTATGTGATTATTCCGTATTGATATCACGTGCAAGTAGGTAGGTTAAGCTTGTGTGAAATTAAGTATATTTGACAGCTTTCTCTGAAACTAAAAAGTAAAACTGACATACGGTCGGAACTCCTCAGTTGTAATCCACTATTCTAATGGTTGAGTTGAATCACGGGACAAAAACAAATGGTGCAAACCAAGTCTTCTTCCGAAGTTAATGGGATTTGTTTTATTGTCATTGTTAATTGCAATATTGTGATCATAATAACATATCAGGAAAGCAGAATTCTAAACCAAAGTGAAAAGGATATTAAAACACAATTTGAACCACCCTGGGGTCATATATCATGTTTAAGATAAAAATGACGAAACTCCAAATCGTTAGTAAAAAAATAATTTAGATAGGTTTTTATGTAGTTCAGATCATTTGTAAAAAGAAAACCTTAAACCTTAAAATAAAAAGGCGACGGCAGCAGTCAGTGAATAAACGAAAACTTTGCATACGTGCTTTACAGCCTTCATACGTGTATGACAGCCTACATATGTGTATTACTGCCTCATACGTGTATTACAGCTTACATACGCGTATTACAGCCTACATACGTGCATTCCAGCCAACGTACGTGTATTACAGCCTACATACGTGTATTACAGCCTTCATACGTGTGATACAGCCTACATACGTATATGACAACCTACGTACGTATGATACAGCCTACATATGTATATGACAGCTTACATACATGTTAGTGTAGTACAGCCGACATACGTATATGACAGCCTAAATACGTGTATTCCAGCCTTCGTAGGTGTAGTACAGCCTACATACAATATACGTGTATTACAGCCTACATACAATGTACGTGTATTATAGCCTACATACAATGTTAGTTCGAATTATTCTGACGTTTTATCGACTTTTTTCATATCGGTCTGTCGTCGATTAACGTCAGAACTCCGGCCCTCTATAATATCCGGGAAATATGCGACCCGCGCCCGGAGCGCACTTCAAACAGATATTTTAGAAACAAAACGTGACTTTCACACACATGTCGCACATGGATCGAAAAATCTATTCTTTATACACAAGATGAACATACATAACATGCCTCAAACAACCAATACAATCACTAAAAACATATTTGTTCAAACTTCCTCTGTTTTACTCTAGTTTTTTGATAGCCCCGCCTTCTAATGCCACCTGACTAAAATCTCGCCGGCCTACGTCATAACGTTGGGAAATACCTTCGGTAACGCGAGATCTCGTCAAGTCATGTGACAATGCTCATGGCCTAATATCCATTAAAAACATGGGTTGGTATAGAAAACGTTGGAAAATACTTTTCTAACTGATCTTTGAAACATGTTATTGATACAACCTAGTGCATAAAGAATAGATCTTTCGATCCATGTGCGACATGTGTGTGAAAATGACGATTTGTTTCTAAAATATCTGTTTGAAGTGCGCTCTGGGCGCGGGTCGCATATTTCCCGCATTTTATAGAGGGCTGGAGTTCTGACGTTAATCGACGACAGACCGATATGAAAAAAGTCGATAAAACGTCAGAATAATTCGGACTAATACAATGTACGTGTATTACAGCCTACATACAATGTTCGTGTATTACAGCTTACATACGTATATGGCAGCCTTCAAACATATAAGTGTATTATAGCCCACAAACGTGTACGACAGCCTACACACTTGTATTACAGCTTACAAACGTGTATCACAGCAGCTTACGTACGTGTATTACAGCCTAAATATTTGTACGTGTAATACAGACTACATACGTGTATAACAGCCTACATACGTGTATTACAGCCTACAAACGTGCATTACAGACTACAAACATACATTACAACATGTACATCTCACATACGTGTGATACAATATACATACGTGTATTACAGCCTACATACAACGTACGTATGATACAGCCTTAATATATGTATTACATCCTACATACGTTAATGACAATCTACGTACGTGTATAATCATGTTAAACATATCTGATTACTACATACAAATGTATATAATTCAGATACAATTTATCATCGATCAAATAATGCTTTACTTCGATAATTTCGAATGACTGACCGACTTTTCCTTTAAATAAATACATACTTTGTTCACAACAACGACCAGCAGTTCCCCTCAGGCAGTCGCAATGGTTGGGCGACACGCATCTTCCGTGGTTTTTACAAGACGGGTTACAAATGGCTGGAATATATGAACAGTAAAGCTATTTACACAAACAGCACATACCGTTATTGTTATAATGCTATCGTAGCCGTGGTTCTATGTAGCTTCAAACTATAATGATATCGCAGGCGTGGTTCTATGTAGCTTCAAACTATAAAGATTTTGTCGACTATATCCCACTGTATGATGGTATACATCAATGTATGTGATTATTCCGTATTGATATCACGTGCAAGTAGGTAGGTTAAGCTTGTGTGAAATAAAGTATATCGGACAGCTTTCTCTACAAACAAAAGTTTGGTCGGAAATCCACTGTTCTAATAGATGAGTTGAATCACAGGACAAAAAATGGTGCAAACCAAGTCTTCTTCCGAAGGTTAATGGGATTTGTTGTATTGTCACTTCCGAAGGTTAATGGGATTTGTTTAATTGTCACTTCCGAAGGTTAATGGGATTTGTTTTATTGTCGCTTCCGAAGGTTAATGGGATTTGTTTTATTGTCACTTCCGAAGGTTAATGGTATTTGTTTTATTTTCATTGTTTATTGCCATACTGTGATCAAACAAACATATCAGGAAAGCAGAATGACATGTTGATATTTTGATCTTTAACGGGAAATAATGCACACCTAAAAGATGATAAGCGTCGTTTCGAAAGGATTTGAAAATTCAGCAGCCATACATCGGATGAAATAATATCGACTCGCAGGATATTAATCCAAAGTCAAGAAACAATTCATTCCGTTTGCCGATGCCTCATCCCAAACCAAACAAAATCCTTCGTTTGTTTAATTTTGCGATCCCCAAGCTACATATAAAATCCTTTTCTCATCCGACGTTTCAATAATGAATGAAATTATACATATGTTCA